CACACACACACACACACACACACACACACACACACACACACACAGCCTCATCAGGCCCTCATGTGGCTCCATGTTGGAAGTCCGGGAAAGACAACAAACATATTTGTAGCAATTCTGCTGAAGTAGGCAACAGGTCACGTTACAAATCATAAGAGCCTAAATCAGTACAAACAACATCAAAGAAATGTTGTAATTATCTGATAACTTTGATCTTTTAAGGTTTTTAAAATGTTTTTATATAAAACACTAAGATTTATGATCAAAAACTGCTTCAAATAAGATGTTTATGAATTTACAAAAATAACTAAAACAAGATCAATTAAAAATCTACATTTTATACAAAAAAATGTAGATAAAGAAAAAAATGACTTCCTAGTTAAAACAAGTAGCTCAGAACTAAAATGACAAATAGTAGCTAAAAGCTAACAGTTAAACAATAACTAAAAGTCAAAATTAGAAAAACTGATGCTAAAAGCTAAAACAGAGAAGCAGTAGCTAAATGTTAAATTTGCCAAACTATAGCTAAAAGCTAACAGTTAAACAATAACTAAAAGTCAAAATTAGAAAAACTGATGCTAAAAGCTAAAACAGAGAAGCAGTAGCTAAAAGCTAAAACTAGCTAAACTGTAGCTGAAATTAGCAACAGTTTAATTAAAAGCTAAAATTGGTAAAACTGTATGTGAAAGATATAATTAGTTATAGAGTTAAAAGCTAACATTTTCAAAACCTAAACTAAAAATTAATTTTAGCAAAAATGTAGTAAAGCTATTATGCTAAGTACTTTGAAATGTGCCTCAAATTAATGTTAGTATAAGACAGATTATTTAAACAAAATTTACATTTTTGTATGGACAATAAAGTCCTTATCTTATCTTATTTTATCTTAGTAAAACAATACCTTAAAGCTAAAAGTACACAATTGTAGCTAAATGATAAAACTAAAATTATAGTTAAAAAATTAAAAATAGCCAAATAAGAAACTAAAAATAGCAAAAATGTGGCTAATAGCTAAAATGATCAAGAAAGGAGCTAAAACGAAGAGAAGACAGAGCTAGTTAGCTGAAGCTGATGTGAGAGGTTTGTCTTTCTGTAACAGTTCGTAAACAAACTTTAAACTTTAAAAAGTCTAAAGATACAAACATTAATAAATGTTGAGTCAAATGTTTTACTTTGTAAAATATCAAAATATTCAGAAGTAGATTGATGGTAAAACAGTAAAAATAAAAACAGGAAAACAAAAACACTGGATCTTAATCAGATGGTTATATAATCAGGACCACACATCACTTTATTTTTCTCTGGTGGAAAACAAACGCTTCATAACCTCCGTGTCCCTCGGGGACGTGTCCCACCCCCTCATATCAATTTAAGGTCGTCCACAGAGACGGGCTGCTCGGCCAGCGTCGGCGAGCTCTTCACTCAAGTGTTGTTTGCATTCCTCCTCCTGCTGGAAAGAAAACATCTTTTCTCACACTTGAAAGTTTTGATTTGATAATCTGTAATCCTCAACGTAAACATTCCTCCACGCCGCCGTCTGTGTCTCCTTCAGACGTGGACGAGTGTGAGACGGGCGTCTGTGAAGACGAGTGTCTGAACACTCCGGGGAGTTTCCGGTGTTTCTGCGACGGTCGCCGCGGGCTGAAGCTGAGGTCGGACCTGAGGAGCTGTAAGGTAAAGAGCAGAGTCGCCTCGAAACGAGTCGTAATCCAGAATAATCTGAGCGTCTCCGTTTGTCCCACAGACCATAACGCCGTGCACGTCCCCGCCCCTGAAGAGGGACCCCCGTTCTCTTTATCTGGGCCGCATGTTCAGCGCCGTGCCGGTGGTGCGGCTGCGTTTCCGCCGCAGGGTCCACACGGGGTGAGGAAGACTCTCCCCTCCTCTTCCTCCCRTTATTTCTTCTGTTTTTTCTCCTTCAAACGTTCCTCCTCCTCCTCCTCCTTCCTCCAGCTTTTCAGCGGAGTTCGACTTCCGCACCTACGACCAAGAGGGAGTGATCTTCTTCGCCGGAGGTCACCTGGACAGCTCCTGGATCGTGCTGGCGATGCATCACGGGAAGCTGGAGCTGCAGCTGAAGTACGGCGCAGTGAGCAGAGTGACCAGCAGCGGCCCGGTGGTCAGCGACGGCCARTGGAGGAAGGTCCGGGGGGCTTCGCTTCACATTCATTCTGTTAAACGAGCCGCCTGAAAGATGCTTAAAGATGAACGTTTGTCTCAGATCTCGGTGGAGGAGCAGGGCCGCAGTCTGGTGATCAAGATCGACCGGGAGGCCGTCATGAAGATCGCCGTGAACGGAGACCTGTTCACGCTGAAGAAAGGCATGCACGAGCTGAACCTCACCGTGGGAGGAGTCCCGTTCAGGGAGGACGGCCTCGTCAATCAGGTGTTTATTTGTATGTGTTTAATTTCCTGCACTAACCGTAGACATTCTTCAAAAGATTAAAAAAAACCAACAACTCTCAGCTGTTTTAACGCTGGAACGGTTGCACAGATCAACCCTCGTCTGGACGGCTGCATGAAGGAGTGGCGCTGGCTGACGGGTGAGGACACCTCCATACAAGAAACCATCCGGTCCAACGACAACATGCAGTGTTTCAGCACCGAGGACCCCGGGGCCTTTTACACCGGAGCCGGCTTCGCTCTCTTCAACATCAGCTACGGTACTGAAGACATTAAATACACTACACATTGTGTAGTCTTTTTATCAGATGAACAGTAATATCTCTTATAATGTGGTTATTTCTACTTGGATTAATGATTTTATTTAGGTACATGTCTGAATACAGATTCAACAGTAGAGTTTTAATTCAGTTTGAGTGTTTGGTTTCAGCTGTAGGTTTGTTGYGGGCRGAAACAAATCCCTAAGAACAATGATAAAACTTGTCATACTTCCTGATGTCAGGGTTTCCAGATTTTAGTCCTACAGGAGAGGATTAGTGCCACAGAGCACAAGACCCACACACAGTCAGAAGTTTGTAGAAAAAGCTGGAAAAGTAGAAAGATAGTCTGAATTGTGGATTAAAAATATCTGGATTGTGAGGATAAAAGTCAGGATTTTGAGGAGAAAAGTGAAAAAAATTGTAGGGAAATAGTCTAAATTTTGAGGAGAACTTTGAAATTTTGAGAGGATAAAAGTGTGTGGGGGAAACGGTGAATTTTGAGGAAAAGTACGAATTTTTTGGGGAAAAATCTAAAAATTGTGTGAAAAAAATCTGAATTGTGAGGGGAAAAAATGTCGGAATTTTTAGTGGGGGGAATATATATTTATATTATTATATTC